TTTTTTTTTTTTTTTTTTTTTTTTTTTTTTTTAATAACTACGCTAAAGGCTTATACAGGGGACCCCTGCGAACATAGCTTTGGTGTCTCCCTCCAGCCATCAGAGGGGATGCATGTTGTCCCCCGGGGCCCCGCCCCAACCGTGAAGGTGAAGGAGCGGGTGGGGCCGCCGTTTTTGTTTTTGTTTTTAGAAAAAGAACTACGCTATATTCTTCTCTCAAATCTTTCATCATCTTTCAAGTTCTTCCACTTCACCTTCACTACCTACCTATCAGTACTCCTGGTGTTCGGGCTGAGTACCGATGGAAGGGGTCCTGTGCAACGGAGCGGAGTGAGCGAGAATTGCCGCGTCAGTGGGATGTGTCCGTGTGGTGTTGTGTGTGGTGTGGGTTGCGTTGGACACTACAGCCTTGCAGGGGTGGGTGGGAGGTTCAATACAATTAAAAACACCTATGTTATTCGCTGTAGGATTCATCTTCGGCGGTATGGTATTCTTTCCAAAGACGTGTTTGGCTGTAGTGGTTAAGAGGGTTGGCTCCTGAGGCCAAAGACCCGTGCTAACATATCTTCGTTGGGCCGCCGTTCTGGACGTCCGTAAGAACCTTTTTGTTTTTTCTTTTTTTTTTTCCGTGAGAGTTGTCAACGAAAAATGACGAATGACATCTAGGTGTCAGTCCCCATTGCAAACTTTTTTTTTTTTTTTTTTTTTTTGTGAGTCAAGGACAGACAATTGTTTGTGACACCAAGGAAACAAAAGGACCCACCTTGGTCCCAGGCATGTTGGCCCAATCGACCGCAGTTCCCGTTGCCTTACCAAGGAACTCTCCCACCATATCCGATGCCATCTGCATGAGCCTGGAAATTCAATCCGAATGCGAAAAAAAGTTATCTACAGGTAACCAGACATCTGTGACGCAGATAGAACTTTGTAAAAGTGAGTGAGAATCCTTTAAAAATAATAATAATAATAATAATAATAATAATAATAAAAAATAATAATAATAATAATGAAATTGCGGCACAGCAGAGTCTTGACAAACTTAACTTGAGACGTCAAAGAATAACAAATGATGAGCTGAAGCTCCTTAAAGTAACAATAACCCATTCCGTCCTCCCGTGAACACAACGCACCCTCATCATGATTATATACAAGGCAAGCACACAACAGACCCGCCTACTTCCTCCTTCTGGCCTCTCTCCTTCCCCTAAGCCACCACCTCCCCCTCTGCTCCCTACTTCCGCTTCCCCCCTCACMCCCCCCCCCCCCTTCCCTATAACAACAACAACACAGACTGTGACAGACACATGCATGCACAGCTCTCTCTCTCTCTCTCTCTCTCTCTCAGAGCGAGAGCGAGAGCGAGAGAGAGAGAGAGAGAGAGAGAGAGAGAGAGAGAGAGAGAGAGAGAGAGAGAGAGAGAGAGAGAGAGGGAGAGAAGTGTGTCCCTTTCTCAAGGATAGCCTAGATGTATCTGTGTCAACCCACTGGACTGGAGTACAAGTACTACCCTCTTCTCCCCTCTGAAGGCGTACGGGCATTATCGCTGCATACAGTCTGAAAGTTGCGCCGGCCCCAAATGCAGCTATAATGACGGGTGTGTTCTATTCGGAGGAAGACTGTAAGTAGCATTACGCTTGCCTGAATTCAGACAGAGGGACGGACCTGAACAGTGCGTTGAGGGCCCCATTCACATGGACATTTGACTCACCACAAATTTCGATGTTGAATACACGTAAAATATATACCGTCACTACGCGGCCATGCTGTGCCTCTAGTGCCAGCRGCGTGTCTGGAGTGTATTTTTTGGCTGTGACAGACCTTTCTTTGTTTCGTGGGTGTTTTGCTGGCTTGTTGCTTGTGATGGGGTGTGAACCGACAGTCTGTAGAGTTTTCCATCTGGTGTGGGTGAGTGATAGTCTACTTTGATTTTGGTTAAGGTGGATTATCACTTACAGTGTAATCAGTGAGGGGATTCTACAG